TGAAAAACTAAGAAAAAATGATTAAAACACTGCAATTTGATTATTGGTACAGACAAATAATGACCTGTGATGGTGACAAAAATCTATTTTTTGAGCAAAAGCAGGTGTGAGTAGCAGATTGTGAGTTTATGAACACATTATCGCTTGCCAGGATAGGCTCTGGCTCCACTACAACAGGTGCAAGGCAGGGTGCACCCTGGATGGGACGCCAGTCCATCGCAGGGCAGACGGACCCAGCTAATTGATCTACCAGTATGTTTTGGGATCGTGGGAGGAAACCGGAGCATCCAGAGGAAACCCATGTGAACACCTCAAGCAGATAACAGTCCAGGACTGGAGCTGAATCCAGGGTCCCAGCGCTGTGAGGCAGCAATTCTAAGCACTGCACTACTGTGCCACCCCAATGGAGAACAATATTAGATAATACTCTAATGTTACTAACATTAGGAATGTTAGATATTCTACTACAAAATTTGATTTCAATAATTCCTATCTGTTTTGAAATTGAGACATGGCCTATTATTATTGGTTTCCCAGAGTTAACATTGTTAAACCATCAGCGTTATCTCAAGTCTCAATTTTTGTATGTCTTTCGGTGACTCGAGTATAGTTACTCAGGTCAAATTAAAATCACAAGTGAAAACCCGTCAAGTGGATCTGATACCTCTTCCACATAGATTGCCTGAAGCTGGTCTTAAAATACTTTTTACTTATTGAATTAGCAATGTCAGCCACGAACTGGCATCAGCCAAGATCTTCAAAAATGATTTCATACTGGTTTTGTGGTATTTTGTTTTAAAAGTGTGTAAAGGTCAAGCAGTACTGGTTTAGCATAACAGACAGAGATTATTTTTTAAACAAGTAACTCTTCCATGCTGGAAAGGAGAAAAATATAACAAGATTTCATCAGTGAAAACCATCTTTCAGTGTAATGATTGCACAAGTCACATTCAGTTGCTTTCCCCAATGATAGGTTTATTGCTGTGATTTATTCAGTAAACAAGGAACATTTCCATACCTAAATTTCATATCTTTATAGTTTGTCATTCTGAGATCGACATTTAACCTGCAGGGAGTTGAATTCCATATTTATGGAATAACCTGTTTCTCATGCATTAAGATTTTTTCTTTAGTCAGTCACATGTGATATGTGCCATTGCATAATGTATATGTGGTTTAGAGGAATTTCATTTCAAGCTGTCACTTCTGAAAGCCACAGAAAACCCTTAAAGCCAGAAGCAGTTCTTCATGGCTTTGGGTTTGCTAAATATCTTTCTTTTAAAAATTATTCACATTATTTAGTATCTCACACCTTGTCATGATGATTGCTAGGTCCTGAGATAAGCATTAAGGTTCAAATGGTAATCTCACTTGAGTGTTTAATCGGCCATTGACCTTCTAACAGCATTTTTCTGCCTAGTAAATACTTTAAGTGCATTTAAATACCTTTACTAAAGGAAGTCCCTTTTCCAATTAAATAATAGATTGTGCCAAAACAAGCTGAAATATATTTTTGGGCTATTGGCCCACATTTTTTAAGAAATTCCATCTATTCTTACTGAAAAGAATTGCGCACTGTTTATTTCCTGAAGTGAAGATTGTGTCAGAAAGTTGATAAAACACATTTTGAGAATAATATTTCCTCCTGAACTGGCGCTTCCACTTGCATTAGCTGGAGAGAAAGCAAATTTTACAAGGTATTATTGAGATGCAATCAAGATTATGGTGTGAAAGCATAAGCACTTTCCCCCTGGTTTAACCTATTATATGCTACATCTGGATAAACATTTAATTTTTTTTTAGATTAGCTGGAGCTGTTTTTTTTCCAAGAATGGGCTTTCGGACAGATTCCACTTTCAGTGCTGTAGTCGTCGTCTTTTTTTATACTAATTTATGATCGGTTACTGAGAGCGCCATCTACAGGACGGATTGTATCAAAGAATTAAAAATATTTTTGTCCACTATATATTCTGTTCAGGTCAATTTGAAGAATTATGGCTTCATAGAAATTGAGCATGATCTAATACAAAGAAAAAATATGGGTCGTTTTCTTTATCTTTAAAAATTGCAGTATTTTAGCAAGTAGAAATCTTTACAGGCCATTAAGATGAAGAATTGTGATTATGAATGTCTGTTCTTTAGTTATTTTGTGCTATACATTAACTATCTTTTACTCTGATTTTGACGTGGATACATGTCTGTGTAAACTTATGGTTTTGAGAAAAAATCTTAGATTATTTTATTCAGTTTAAATCCATACCCTTTCTTTCACTTTGCTTTTCATGTCATACTTTTCCTCTGTTTTCACCATAAAGACTCTGATATTTATGCACAGATAGTATAGAAAAAAGATGCCGGATACATAGTCATTAGGTAGATGCACCATTCAGAAACATTTTTGATCAACAATAGGCATTCCTCACGATAAAAAATGCTTACTGGAAATGGAAAACTATGGCCTTTTGTGCCATGGTATGCAATAGACTTTTGCCTCTAAATGTGGCACTGTGACTCCTCCTTTAGTGGCACCCTCCAGAAGATGGGCACAGTTCTTTTCACATTGCACTTGAGGAATGCAAACACATGGGCTCCGGAGCCACACGTGGGCCCTGCTTCCAGCAGTAAAGTACAATCCTGGTGGAACAGAACCAGTTTTAAACTGCTACATACAGGGCGTTTTCTGTTGACTTCTCTTAGCCTGCTCTGTGTGGAATGATTGATTGCAATGTGTCGTTTTACAGTTTTGCCATGCAGCGCTTCAGAGTGCGAGTAGGCTACGATCTACAGGCAGCGTATGCTCCGCTGCCTCAAAATCTCAGGCACTAATATGGCTCGCTAAGAGCATTTTAGACTCCGTTTTGTACCAGACCGATTCAGTCAAGGTCTTCATTAATCCTGTCTGCTGATTACATGCCACAGCCTTTGAGAATACAACTAATGCATCTTTGGGTTTTAAGATACAAACTATAAAAAGCTTTAATTTAATATAATGCATCTGCACACTTACCTATAATTTTAAGCACTTACAGTACAATTACAGGAGAGTGATTATGATTTTATTCACAACTACAATACATTAATATACTCACTGCCATTTTTTGTCAAGTGGTACAAATGTAATTTGTCGGTAGAGTATAATGATCCTAGAAATGCTATAGACTGAATTTAGTGAAGAATAATTAGTAGAACATAACATCATACTTCTCACTTGTAATCAATAAAAGACGTGTCAGACACAGGCATAATTGCTTAGCACTTTTCTAGCACTAATGTAAAACTGAAATAAATATTGTTTGTAATTCACTTTAATGCTGAAGCAGCTCTGATTACTGTCCTGGGTGCCAGTATTAAGAGTACACTGCAAGATAACAGTCCAGCTTTCTTCCTTTAAGGGATTGTGAATCTTTCTCTGTGATTTGTGGTTTACTTATCATGTGGATGGGTGACTAAAGTATCCTCCTGAAATGCAGGAGTAAAAAGGCATCATAAATTCTTTTTGCCTGATTCAGCTATTCATTGTATTGTGCCCAGGGTCGGCTGTGTTAAGCTGTAAACACTCAGCAGTAGCTTGTCACAGGAGCAGTGATAAATGTATGTTCAAAGAAACCCTTCTCTGTGAGGATCATGTCAAAACACCGCTCCCCTGATTACTTAATCATTTAGGAATTTAAATATCAAGGCCAGCAAATCCTTTCTGTTGGACGCAAATACCTCCTTCTTTCAGGTTATGATTAACACCACACCACTTTCTCATCTGGTCCTACTTAAATCCACTCTGTGCTTAAAGTATTCTCACAATAGGTGCTTGTATTTCAGTACAGTTTGTGGCCTGACATTTTTTTGTAGAGATCTAAGGAGCCCTGTACTTGGCAAAAGGCTGACATCAGTCAGTGTTATTGTTGGGATTTCAGCAGAAGAGGGCGTTTTAACCTGCTACACAGTGATGTGTCATGAGAAGTAGACTAACTTTCATTTATACAGAAATCTAGTAAATGCGTCTTCTTTTATTCAGTTAGTTACTGTTTGTCTTGAAGACGTCCAATCCCGTGTTAAGACATATTTAAACTACCAATTTTCACTTCCTACAAAGGAAATAATCGGGAGCAGCAGGAACTGAAGGGACAGTTAGCCTGTTCTGCAAAATGCCTGCGCCGTGTTGCAGAAATGAAATGAAACACCTTGTTTCATGAGGCAGGAAATCCCGTGTTGGACAGGGACTATGGTGTGCCTTGCCTGGTTGAGAATATAGGTCAGATCTGGATAATTTTCGGAATTTCCCTTTCATTTTAATGGCTCTCACAATAAATATGTACATGTATCAATGTAGTGTATTTTAATTAGCTTTAAATCGGTAACCATTCTAGTATTCGTGCTCTTAATTACCTGTGAAATGACCATGCATTTCTATGCATTGCATATGTACATTTAAAGAAAGTCCTTTTCTGGCCAAAAGCATTGATGCATAACCATAGAATGTGCTTATCGTTACTATCTGGTATAACTGATATGTTAAACAAAGTCATGTTTTATGAACAGTTGCGTTCTCCAGACCTATGAGCATATGTATTTTATTATTATTTTAAAAAGTTGGTTGACCAGCTGGGCAAAAAATGAAAAAAGGGTTTCATTTTGTATTGGTTTTATTCCAGTGTGCAAAGAAAATACAGAACAGTATACCAGTCAGTGAAATTAAATCACTTTTTATCTTATTGTTTTGATTAGTTGTTGCTCAATTGTATTTTATATATCTTGATTCATTTTGATATTAATAAGTCTAGTAATTGGTGTGATTTGCACAGAGGAAACAAGATTTTTCATTTCATTTATCAAACAGAACAATTCCGCTTCTCCAAACTGGGGGTTACTGCTTATGGTTGTAAATATTTTGGGTGAGTTCATTTGCAGCGGTATGACAGCATGGCAGCGGTACTGTAGCGTACAGCCCGTCTCCCAGTAATTGCCATCTTACACAGCAATGTGGTCTTCCTGCCCCTTTTCAGGAATGACTTGCTGATGGTTTGCCGGCAGCTCAACATGGAAGACTCTGTGGCTGAGATCATGCACCAACTTGGAGCCGACGAACGGGGAAAGATCTCCTTTGAGGATTTCACGCGCTGTCGCATGCAGCTTGTGAGCGAGATCAGAAAGGAGGAAGGAGAGCTGTCGGTGAAATCGGACGACTCCTGCAAGAAGAAGAACTTAAGAGATCGCATTGCGTCTTGGCCAACTAGCAGCGACAACAGTCTGGGTGAGTGCAGAAACATGACAAAATGCAGCACCATTGTTTCTAAAGTTTAAACGCGACGTGACTATTTTCAGGTTGTACAAAGCTTTCATATTTTTTTTCATGTTTTAGCTGCTAGAAGGATATGTTTTGTAAGTTTACTTCATGTTTGATTTTACCTGATATCTTTCATGCAGTAAACATGGATCTTGTAAATTAAACCTTTCATTAAGGACTGCCATGCTTAGGATCCTTTGTGATCTGCAGTGAGTTTGACCACAATGTCTGAAGTGTCATATTCAAATATCATCTAACTGATATTCTTATTTTAGTACGGTAAACCCACAAAAGGACATCCATTACTGTCGAATGTTACATCACAAATGTTTTTTTCAGCCCCAAAACACACAATTATGAGCAATATATACAGTATATACTGATGGAAAAAAGAAACAACATTTTCTGGAATGAGAATAATATAGTTATAGATTATGTCTTTTCACAAAAAGTTGTCAATTTGTTTTAAGCTCTCTGACCAGCAGTACAGATTGTGCAGTGAGGCATTACAACTTGCCAATCACACGAAAGCTCATTAGGTACACTTTTAAACAACGAGGTCCAGGTGGAACAATGCCTGATCATGTCACCTTTAAAAAGGCCTTAATTCAAAGCTTAGGTCACTGCAAGGAAAAGGCCACACTTAGTCAGTTTTCTGTGTCGAATGTCACCAGAAGCAAGGGAGAGGACTGTTAGCATGCTGCAGACAGGCATGTCATGTGCCAGCGTTGCCAGACACCATGGAGTAAGCCGCTCCACTGTGTCCTGACTGCAGAGAAGGTTTCAGCAGACCGGCAGGGCAGATGACTGTCCAAGATCCGTTCGCCCTTGAGTGACCACACCAGAGCAGAACCGACACATCAGACTGGTCCATCCGAGAGATCGTTTCAGATCTGCCACCCGTACTTCTGCTGAAACTTCCGGCAGACCCAGTGCCCGCATCAGTGACAGGACAGTGAGGCTCCATGCTGCTGGCCTTAGAGCAAGGCAACCTGTCAGAGGGCCTCTGCTCACACCCGACTGGCTTGGGCCAGACAGAGGGAGCGATGGACTCGTCGGTAGTGGCCTCAGGTCCTCTTGACGGATGAGTCACTCTTTAGCCTGTTCCACGCAGATGGGAGGGCCAGAGTGTAGAGGAGGAGGTGTTGCATTTCTTTTTTCAATTAGTATGTGTTCTTTCTGGACTTTTGGTTTATTTTTTTTAACAATTGTAATCAACACAGTCAAAGAAATGTGGCCTTTTTTGTATCATAAATATACTTTTTTAAATCTTTTTATCAGATTTTGTCTGCTAAATTCGAAAGCTGTTAAACCAAGGGTTTACTGTATAAGTAAGAAAAGAAGAGATGTTGTCAAACCACATATTTCTGTCAGATATTGTTATTATATGACATATCTGAATTCACCAATGTAAATCAGCCACTTTAACCTCTCCTCATTGTAAGACACCACAGGTACAAAATCATCATGAGTGCAGGGTTTAAGGTAGGTAGAGCATTAAAAATGTCTTGCCACTTGAATTTGATTTTGAGTTCAATATAAAAGTTAAAGTAGAGCAAGTGAGTCACACGCTGTAGCTGTAATGGAATACTGTCAGTTTCTTCTAAAAAAAGTAGAGATCAAAGTTGTTAGAAAGTCGTGCATGACAGTTTAACTTTTTTTACAACTGAGTTGAAGAGATCAAACCAACATGCATAACTTTTTTGATACCAACCCTTAAGAATAACTCATAACTTTGAGATGGCAGTTTCAATATGATCTTTTCTCTTCTGTTTTCCTTTTTCTAATGTAATGACAAAGCCTGCTCAAAGAAAAGCAGTGATTTATGAATTCAAAATTTGGAAAGAGTCTGGGAAATATACTGTAGCTTTGTTCTGTTTTGATGGCTTCAAATAATGAGGATATTGTTAGAATCAACAAGACCACACAAAAAGAGGAGGATAGAGTTTGCATGTCACAGGAGCAGTCTGTCATGACTTGTATATTTACAATATGCTTTTTATTCTTTACTTTCATTTGTGTTTATGAAGATGAGTAAAGTCTTTCAAATGTGAAACACAAGTTCTCTCTCTATACTGGATCATATGCTCTGTTCTTGAAAATGAAAACATGTCCATTTGCACTTAGGTCAAACCACCTTTTTTATGTGTATTGTTTTCAATAAACAAATCAAGTTAACATTTAACAGACCTTCAGGATAAAAAAATATACATATACAGTGCTTAGCAAAACATACTGTACCTAGGGTATTCATACCCTTCCTATGGTTTCTCATTTTCTGAAATTGCTAAATGAAGCATACACTGAGGCATACAGAGTTTACTAAACTTAATATTTTATTCAGACCCTGAATGCTCAGATTGAAGAGGGCTAAGGATATGTTACAGTAAATGTCAGTGTAAAATATTTTGATTACGTGGTTATTCAGATATGAGAACTCCAGTTGACTAGCTGTCTTTTTGGGTAAGTCTCTTCTAGCTGTGCATTCTGATTTGGTGCAGTTTTTGCCCATTCTTAGATTTGCTCAAGTTTTCTGAAGTTGCTTGAGGATTGTCTTTCCAGTGTCTACCAGTAAGATTGCCATCAGGACTTTTGACAGAGCCATTCAAATACATTCACCTTTTTATTCTTGGGCCCCTCCAGTGTAGCTTTGGACATATACTTGGAAATGTGACTTTTTGTCCCAGCTCCAAGTCTGAAGTAGGCCTCCCAGTAAGATTTGTCAGTACCTTGGAGCTGTACCCAGCAATGTCCCCACCAGTTTCAGTCTTGTCAAGCTTCCCAGGTCCTGCCGTTGAGAAGAAAACTATAGCGTTATACTTCCACCACCATGCCTGGCAGGAGCAGTGATGCATTATGCTGGGTTTACATCAGACGCTTTGCATTTCGATCTAAAATATTCCAGTTTTGTCCTGTCTGTCCACAGAATCGTATGCCACAGTATTTCAGTATCACTCTCGCCCTTTTTGCAAAGTCCATGTGGGCTGTTTTTTTTTTACTTCCATACAAGACCCCTTTGTGAAGCGACTGACATATTGTTACGCCATTAACATTCTCCCATCTCGGCTACTGGAATTTGGGTTTTTTCAGGTGTAAGAAATTTTATTTTCAAGTTTTTATGGCCTACCGTTTGGAAAAGAACTATTACCCAATAGAACAGCAGAATGCTGTTAATATTTGCCATTCCCCTTCATCTAAGTAAGAGCTGGGAGTAGCATATGCCCTCTGAGTTTATTTTTGTTATCTTTTTTTTGTTTTCCTTCTATGTAATGTTGAAATGTCTCAGAATTAACGGCTCTCATACACAGTTCCATATCTGCTTGGTGTATTAACTTCTTTCTTCTTTCCTGTATGCAGCACTCTTCAGAGAAGAGAATAGTCTGTGTAAAGCTGAGTTTTTGTCTCGCACAAGTAGGTGCTGAGTTTTGGAAAAGTGTATCTTATGTAATATGTGCACCTTAAAGGCTTCTGTATGACTAATGTTACCAAGAGGTAGATTGTTATCTTCAGGACGATGACAGCCAGGCTGTCTGTAAGAAGGAGAAAAGAAAATCACAGCCTGAAGGCAAAATTCAGATTAGCTACTTTACAAAAGCTTTACTGACAGCTGAGAGGTTTGATTTTAATAATTGCCACATTTGGGAGTTATTTATAACCTTTACAGCCCCGAATAAGTCACAGAGGTAGAAGAGAGAAAACTTTATTTTGTGAAGCTAAATATTTGATGGGTGATACTTTTTTAAGAACTTTTCTTTGTCTAAACTTACCAGCCACGCCAACATCCCGAGATTGATGAATGCTTTCACATTCAGTATTTACTGTATAGCCAATGTAATCTGTTTCTCATCTCTCAGTCTGTAGAAATATTTATTAGATTTCCTGAAACTGGTCTGTAGTTTTGCCAGTTGCACTGAAGACATATTTATCCACAATCCCTGGTATTTAATTTATTTGTTGTAATATAAGTAACTTTAGTTAATGCTGTACAGATTGTTTCCCTTAGTTTAAAAAATGATCAATTATAGCAGAACAAGTCCATGAAAGACTAAGTTAGTCATCACTGCCTATGTATTGCCTAATATAAGGAATTCAGCTTTCTCTTATATCCTTTAAACATGTGGCTTGTAAATGAGTCCATTCATTGAGTTTGCTTTACAGCTGTTTGAGTTAGGTAGGAAATTTGTGGAGTATTGCAGCTGACTTTGAATAGTCACATTGTTGCTATAGATCACTTCTACTTCTGCACCTTTATATCTCCAGGCACAAATGTTTGAACCTTTTGAATAGTTGTCATTCCCTTTTTCTAAAGGGAAGCACATACACTAAGATGGGAGTTGGTTATACAGAGAAGTAGGGTCTCGTGTTCCTCTTTTCCATAATAATTTTGTGGGTCACATTTATCAATCACCAATTTAAGATGATCCTTAAAATAAATCCTGCATTTTTATACTGTCTTTTTAAACATATTATGAAAATCATATTACAGGGCATACTTTAGTAACTTCCCCATTTGTTTTTCTTTTTTGACTGTTTAATCATCTGTAATGGAAGGGCGCTTGAATGGTTTTATCAAAAAAAATGGTAAAAATCTTTTTTCAGAGAGTTTATCTCTGTAAGCTTGAAACTACAACTCTTTCTCTTCAAGAGGCTGGTGATTGAGGTCTATTAGTGGCTTAATTGTTGTGAAGACTGGAAGACCTCCACTGTACAATTCTGATCTCCCACTAATGCTGACTAGTTTTATCATTAGTTCACGTAATCAGCTGCGTTTAGCACTTTAACGAGAAAACATACAGCCAGTTGCAAAATATATTTTACAAATGCAGGAAGTGTAATGTTGATGAGGACAACTGACCATATAGTGCTTGTCAGTTTAAAGAATGCATCTCACAAAAGTCTCAGAAGCCAGACAACTTTTCATTCTTAAGTAACCCCATTACTTTTGATGCTTGAGTGCTGTATGATGACCTGTTGAAGTTTTTTGTTTCCTGAAATAAGGCAAAAGTAGAAGGCCTGACTTTTTGTTTGTGTTGTGAATGCTTTGGTGATTGGTATGGCATTCAGCAATCACATTTTTTGTACTAGTGTTTGTTTTTGTTGGCTCTAACATCTTAGTACTATTGTTCTTCTTGAGCTTTCCTGTAAGAGATTATTGCACACAGATTATTCACTAGTGGAATGAATATGTATTGTGCGTGATGGCTCGATAGCTGATTCCTTTTATAAACAACAACTGTACTGAAGTTAGATTATAAGGAACAAGTAAAGGTTTATTCTATGTGAAAAAGAAAGTGTAGAAGAAGGCTCTAAAGCTGAAACATTGTTTCTTTTCTTCTCTTTTCAGTAGAGAATAAACCTTTACTTCTTCCTTTGCAGCCTATGCATGCTGACACAGCTACCTACTTGAACAACTGGGGTTATCATGTTTAACTGAACAGATTCCAGGAAGACTGGCTTCTTTGCATCTTAATAACAAAGAATACTAAGAAGAATTTTTAAAGTGGAATTCAGTATTTGACAAAATACAGTCTGCATCTTGTGAAACTTCAGAATAGTTTGCAGAACATTTTTTAAAGTAGTGCAATGTATGCCCTGTAAATGGAAAAACACAACTTTTGTTTTATTGGTTTGTCATTTGTATTAAACTGAAACATAATAGTTCTTATGAAGACCAGATACTTGCACTGTATTTTCTAAATGCAATTAATGAACTGAAGTTCTAAAACAATATGAGTTTTATTTGTAGTTTACCACATAAAGAAATGTATCATTTAAATGCAGAAGTTGTGTAAGATGTACTTTAATCTAGTCTGCTGTTGGTTTGTATTGCATATAATCTGTGAATTTGGCTTGTGGATGTTGTAAATCACTCCAAGAAGAAAAATTACAATAAATCAAAACTAGAATCGCACAATTACAAGAGCATAAGAAGGCTTCCGGTCATTTTGCTTGTTTGGTAAACCCTGTTACGAATCCCAACTTCCTGTGTTATAACAAGCTAGCACCATATGACAAATATTACCTCATTTGGATTTAGTTATCACTATAAATTGTAAGCATAGTTGTGCTTAGCTGATGATGTTTTAAAGCTGTTACCTCATTTGATGCTTATAGGCAAGCCTGCTGGAATGGACTCCAGCACTGAGCACTGTCACTTGAGAGGTACAAATAAACAGTATTATTTTATTTTATTTGGTCAGTTTGGTTAATTTAAAATAAAGAAATGCCACATAAATCTTTATATGGAATATAGCATATTTATACAAAGATACTATATATTAGCAGCATAAACTTTAGATTTTTAGGTTTTTCCTGGCATCAACAGAATTACAGCTTAAGCTTTCAGGTGTATAGTATTTCAGTGTGTCTAGGGCAATTTTAAGGAGCTTGTTCTTTGCCAAGACAGCCCTTTTTTACAGAATTAGGCAAGCAAGGGAGGCAGCTGAGCTGTATGTGACATTGAAGAATAAAATCTTCATCATTTTCATCATTTTCGATGGCTTCTTTGAATAATACACATTGAACAATGTGCATTGTTCATGTTTCATCCTCTTTTACTCGAACAGTTGCTTTTGCATTTTGGTAGATGTCATGGCTCAGAGTTCTGGGTAAGATTCCTTGAAGGCAGGTTGGCTTATTTGGTTCTGGGATGTTTGTGTTTGTGCAGGTGCCTTGTCCGGGGCCAGGGAGAGCTGGGAATACGACTCTGGTGCCCGGGATCTACAAAGCCCAGACCTGCAGCCAAAGCCAGCCTTCCAGAAGCTCCTTGAGTATCGAAACAGCACGCTGGAGCAACAGGCCGTTCTACAGAAACTGCTGTCGCAGGCGAGCAGTCTGAATGCACCCCTGGGGGGAAACTACCTGGAGCTTGCCAACACGGTGAGACAAACTTTCACCCTCAGTTGCTGAGCATGTGAAGCTTCAGAGTTGTGCCTGGGTTACAGCAGCATCGAACCAGCCAGCCTCAAGTAAATGCTGCTCTCACTGAATGCTGCTGTACGTCCATCTTCTTCATTAGTTCTTTATAAAATGTGGACAACAGGTTTGTTTGAGTAGTGGCTTGCTCATTCATTCCCACACTTTTTAAATAGTTTTGTGATGAGAGGCAGCTAATTTGGCAATTAGAGATCTTAAAAAGTTAAGTGCTTGAAAATTTGGTAAATAGACTATAGAAACAATAAATGTCAGTTGCTTTATTTTACTTGTTCTACTTTAAAGAATGACTTAACTTTTTTAAAGATTACATTTATGCATGAGAATTGTGGTTGGAGACTGAGGTTTACTTTTAACTGATGAGAACGTCCAGAATGGGCTCAGCTCCTAATGCTAAGCTGTTTTAAAGGTTCACGGTGTGTCCTACAGAAATGAAGAAAGGAAGTTTCAACACCCTGCCACAGTATTTGAAAACATTCTGTTCCTTTAGTTGAGAGTTTCTGGCTTTTGTTGTGGAAGAATTCCTAGGGTTTTCCATTCAAAATAATCCATTCAAAATAATCCTGATATTTTTCTGTCATGCAAGCTTCTTTTAGCTTCTGTACCTTTCAGATAAGTGATATTATGATGTGTACAGCGTAAGATACAGTTCTGCCTCTCATGTGCTACAGCGGTGAATTCATGCACAAAACAAATGGTTTTTATCAGTACTGTAGTAATCTTAAAATTTGCCTAGATACTCTTTTGGATACAGATACCATGACTTCAAAAATCTATTTAGTTTTGGTTTCTGGTCTCGTTAGGTACACCATTCTGAACTCTTAAAATATGTATTTAAAACATTTCTGTTTAAGACCCATTTCCACATTCAATTTTTTAAAATTATTTTTGGGTGGAGTTTTGGTTTCTTGAAAACTCTTATTGCCCTTGTGTTGGCAGAGCAGTTGATTTTTGCCAACCTGTCTCTTAAACGCCTGTAGGAGTTTTGTTTCACCCAGTTCATTTCCACGTACTGTAGCTGTTTCTCAAATATGTCACATTTCTGTCTGTAGATTCCTGTAAATAGCAAGACTTCAAAAGAAATGTCAACCATTTTGAGACAGGCTAAGACGTATCGTGCTGTGCATCGTACTACAACATTTGACACGTCCTTAGAAAAAAGGATTTTAAATTTGTGGTTTTGGCATGGGGTTCCAGGATGGCAGTTAATACTTCTGGGTTGGGGGTGGGTTTCTGGCTTTTCTCAATGTGGTATTTGCACCCTGTCCCTGTGTTTGTGTGAGTTTCTTTACAGGTGCTCTGTTCTATTCCTGCTTCCCAAAAATAAAGCTGAATAGGTTAGCTTTAGCTATTCTGATTTGTCTTGTCACTTCACTCTCCCTGTTGTGAACTGGTGTACCTTCTGAGAGAAGAGCAGTCATGCATCCTGAACCCTAAGCTTCTGGAATGAGCTCTGATTTGCCATGACCCTTTCAAGGATAAACAGCCTACTGCCGATGGATGGATGGGTAGAACCATCTGAGAAAGCAGCACATTTCTATCGGGTGATAAAGTTCGCTCCTGCTGCTAGAGTATGACAGATTGGAATGCTGTTGATAAAAGTAGAGGATAGCATTTGGATTTGGAAGAGAACATTATTTTTCTTATCCTTTTCAAATTCAGTGTGATGGATGTGCTATATATTTCATCTAATGGTCTGCTGACTTTATCTGTAGATCAGACAAGTTGTAAGTTGACTTAGAGCAGGCATTTAGTATGTGCGAGCATTCTAACTAGAAAAGTAGAGAGATGAGTGCATTGAGAAATCATTTTTGCATCCAGTCTTACCCTCTGCATACTTTTCTTTTTGACCTGGCCAAAGCTCCCAATCTCTCCTTCTAGTCTTCCTTAGTCATTTATAAATTCACGAAAGAAGGTAGAATAAAATATACAGGAAAAAGAACAGATATAAATCAAACCCTACAATTTGTAGCAGGGAATCACAACTATTCTGTTTAGACTTGGAATTATTTTGTTTCCCTGTAGAAGAGAACAGACTACTACATCTTAAAACAGCAGAAAGTATAACTAAAAATGTACTGTAAATCGTGAATCTGTAGCCTTGTAAGGCATAATCATAATTTTGTAGTAATTTGGATTTTGCAATATGGGACATCTCCTTTAGTATCCCTGTTTATTTTTGAAAAACTAAAAATTAGACAAAGCCTGTTGCAGACTCACTGCTTTCTGTTTACTAGTTTGTTCACAATTTCAGTGCTGTACTAATGTTTTGTACCTTATGTAGAATGTTAGTGCCAAGTATATATGTGCATTTGTTGTATTCTGATCATTGTGCATCCAGTCAGTAATGTTTTATAACCCATATGACACCAATAATAATAACGTTTGTTGAGGCTCTAAGTATCTACTCTGTTTTAAAAAGCATGTTTTGCAACTATATCAATATGATTTTTATGTTCTGTGAAAATCTACCTGTATGTTTTGGTAACTGTATCAAAATTGAAAAAAAAGTGTTAGCCCTCTTTTTCTAAACAGACATGTCTCAGGAACTATTTAGGAATTGCATGCTTAAATTGGAGCTTTTATCATAATGCTTAAATTGGAGCTTTTTTACTGTTGAACTAAATTATATTCATATATTAGTTCACTATGCCAATGTCATAATACGTCCAACACTGAGTGACCCATCATTGAACTACTGTACTGGTTTGTGCTGTGTGCACATTTGATAGATGGAGAAGAAATGCTTGCTTTGCCAAATGTGGATACTGGAGAGTGCTGTGCAGCAGATATTTATGCAATACAGTTAAGCCTTTTTAAAGACCCCTAAAGTCTTATACATTGCTATTAATGTCAGTTCTTTAGACTGAATGAAAAGTAATGCAAATGAATTCTGATGATGGAGTTGGTTTAAGTGCTGAGTCTTACAGCTAGTAGAAATTAAGTGTGTCAAACTCTAAATTGGTTCTATTTCATTCTTGGTAATGGCAACAAATGAAAGGCCATGTAGTCTCTTATCATTTTTAGTCTGTTTTTGCTCCTTGGGGTGCTAGTAGCTTTTACATATGAGTTTCCATAAAGATAGCAGTAAAGTAAATTTTACAGCAGTGATTCATTTTTAATGTATAGAATGGCATGTAGTTTTATGACCTGACTTGTTTAATAAACGATTGGCACAGTCTTCATTTAAGTCCGAAGTGGGAGCCGTAGTTTTGGGGAATAATTTAAGGGATTTATGGGAGATCCATGGATAACTCGTACAGAGGGGTGCCAGGATGTTAAAGTTTGTAGGGCATGTCTTTTATAAATGTACTCTATCACATGCATTCTATATCAAAATAAATACCTTCAAATGAGACATTAAAATATAGGGCAGTAATTCCTTGAATAAAGCAGTGGTTACGTTTGTGAAAAGTGGAAATGTCTCATGGGCTAAAATTCACTGGCTTTTTTTCTCACCTGTAGCATCAATTATCTTGAACCCCCTGAACTTGCAAACACACTTAAGCCATACATGGCACCAAACTACTTTGAGACAACTTGTCTAAACGTCTGCCCTAGCCTCTCTTCGAATGGATTCTGTACATATCTCCTTCTTAGCATTCACTGGTTTTGCAACTTTCTTTAATTTTCTTGGCTTGTGAGTGAATCATAAACAAAGCAGACTAATGTTCAAAGTGTGGGGACTATCCCTTCACACATGATTTCCTCACATGGTAGGAGGTAATATTTTTTAAACTTATATTCTTAATATTCTTTAAACAAATAACTATGGTCTGGCACCAATGGCCTGAGAAGGATTACAGTGCTTCTTGTGTTCATCTACCATTTATACCATCTCTGCAAAGTAGTTGGCCTACCCAATTTTTGGCATGTTATTTTTGGATGGCCACTTTATGTGAAAAGTGTTACCTAAATAATTGTTTTATTGAGAAAATCACTATCTAAGTGTGCGTTATGTAATGAGGAATTAAAGTCATACAAATCCCTCCTTTTTATGAACTGCTTTATCCAGCACAAAGTGTGATGCACTCCAGACAGGATATCAGTCCATTGCAGGACACAATCACGCACACTCACACCAGGGCAAAATTTGCAGAAACCAGTTAGTCTTCTAACATGTCTTTGGACTGGTGGAGGAAACCAGAGGACCAGTAGGAAAGTCATGCGAACACGGGAGAACATACAAACACCACAAAGAGAGCACCCCAAGGAATTGAACCCAGGGCTCGGCCCTGCAAGGCAGCAATGCTCACCACTGCGCCACTGTGCCGCCTCATAATACAAACCATGATACAGAAATGCCATGAAAATACAAGAAAATGTGGGTCTGGAGACCTTGGAGGAAAATCATTTCATGGCATCAGTGCGGTGGTTGTTTTTTTTTCCTGAGAACTGGCATGGGGGTTATTGTCTTTACAGTATGTCTGTGCCTTCTCAAACACAGAGGCTGTTCTTGAAATTGTGTTGTTTTAATTTTAAAAAAAGAACTTGAAGCTGACTTTAGCATTTAGACTTTTGGCATTTTTCTGTCTTGAGGGCCTTTTAGAACCTCAAAACCCCATGTTTTTTCTTCACTTTGGCAATGGTTTATTTGCAAAATTGAATTTGACTGCATAATACTATAAAATTTCAGCTCATTTTGCCAAGTGGTCTACAGTATTCTGTGTATTTCCGTCTCTTTGTGTTTTGGTCTGTTTGCAACACTGTTCTCCTTGCCTAGTCTCTTCTCTTAGGAATAGCCCGTAACCCGTGTTCAAATGTGGCAATATCAGGAGAGTTCTTCATTTCCCCTCTGACTCTATAAGTGCTGATTAATTCCTGCATGGTTTGAGGTCAGCTAATGTAATTTTATTGACTGTTATGGTAGGGATTTTTCATGCTGCAGAATAACTATAAATTTAGATTCACTAAGGCACTGGGCTATTTAAAATAAGCTAATAGAG